GTCATGGACATAAACCTACGTCCTTACTACCTACAAGTACGTAGTGAGTACATAGAGTCCGTACGAATGCATTGTAGTGAAAAGGCATGGGTCAAGTGCAAGCGCCGACAATATATCCGTCACCCAAGATTCGATCATCTCTGGTCCCCCCCGCACAGCCAAAGGTCCATTCTTGTATTCTATCGAATAGGACGACCGCATTTGTCGTTCCTTTTTCCTTTGTCGTTCCCAGTACCTCATCTTGCTCGCCTGTGCACATTCTCTGTCCAATCCAGCGGAGGCTACCTTGACTGAGGGAGGGTGTAGAAGAAAAAGAGAGAGAGAGTACCTGTGCCTGCTCTGCCACGCCACGCCATGCCGTGTTCTGCTCTGCTCAACCAGAGTCCTGTCAGGTCGATGCCACACCCCAAAGCTTCAGTTAAATCTCATCCCCGAGACAAGGACCTTGTCCATCACAAGTACCCAGGTGCCAGGTACCCGCCTCACTTCGCAGGTACAACTCCGTGCCCAGCAGCCGGGTACCCAGTCATGTCTTGTACAAAGACTGCCAAAACCAAGTGTCAGGCCGAACACTTGAGCATTCCTTTGTCCAACGTCTTTCGCCGGGCCCTTTCCCCTGTTCCCTGTACGATTCCCTGTCCTTTGCTTCCCGCTTTGGCACCGCACATGCAAAATCGACTTATGGCCAATATCGCGCGGCATCCGCGGAATTGGCAAACATCCGAGGAGAAGAAAAGTACAAAACAGTACCGCAGCATGGAGCAACATGAATGGCACTGGGCACAAAGAGAACTTGGGAAAACATTGGCCAACTGAGCCCGACAACACAACGAATTTGGGCCCCGTCCAAGACAATCTCCGACATCGATATGGAATGTGTGTCTGTTTCGTAACAGATATAGTTCTTTACGTCTTTCAACCCTTTTCGTCCACAACGCCAGTGCCCATGTGTCATATCCCATGGGCAAGTGTTACAGGATCTATAAGGAAAAAAAAAAACAAAAAAGAAAAAAAACAAAGAACCGACTTCCACAATCGCCATAAGCTCCCTACCCATCCCTAGCCGCTTAACACCCGTTGTTTGCTCTTGAGCAAGCCATGGTGCAGTATCCAGTCGCTACCGTTGGCATGTCCTATAATACTCACAGCGCTAATGCCAGGTCCAAATATAACGACTCAAAAAGAAAAATTAAAAACAAAGAGAGAGAAAAGTACAAATCATTACAACATAGAACCAACAACATGATCCGCAAGACCGCTCAGCCGTGAGGGATGAATTAGTAGAAACACTTATTCCGTTCAACATGACGGATGAAAATATGCGCCAAGAAGGTTCAGACTTGCAACTCCACTTGCTATCAGCAGCCCATACAGATGGACGATCATTCATCACTCAGTATTTGGTAGAGTAACGGTGCGCAGTTGGCGAGTACGGAGGGTCGTAGCTGCTGGTGTGACCATACGGATCGTCCGCATAGACAGTTGCTCTGCGCTCGTCTTCCGGCAAAAGCTCCTTGACTTCCCAGTTGTTCATACGTGTCCCCACAGAGAATTCCAGATCCTCCTTGGTAATTGAGTCCCAGTACTACCAGATAAGTCAGTCAATATCTTCCAGTCTGTCGCACTTTTGCCAAAGCCCCCACAGGGTAAGCAACATCCCAGCTGTGACGGGACAGCAAATGTTGATGAAGTGGCTATATCCATTCCTGGTGTCGGGGAGAGGGGCCATACCTTATATACCATCATAACAGCAAGAAGGTTGCAGACTGTTGCAAAAAATAGGCCATCCAGATAGTGGCTCACAGCTGTGCAGATTTTGCTGCTAAACGCATAGAGGATAACCTGCCCAGCCACAAAGAAGAAGACACCAAAGGCAATGTCACCAAGTGGCCAACGGTCATGCAGGGTTCTAGTTACCAAGATGACCTGCATGCCTACATAGATGAACAGCTCAATAGCGTTCAACAGATATAGAACGACAAACAGGCCTACCGTGTTGGTCGGGTTCAGGCCCGCCCATCCTTTGAAAGTAGCAAGAGAAACAAGAAAGCTGATGGCAAAAGCAACCAAAGAGCAGATTCGCATCATCCAAACCGACAGAGGTGTGCCATCCTCATATAGCTGAAATCCCACAAACCCGTTGATAAGCAAGCATGTTACCAGCGCATTGCTCAAACCATTCTGTATGCTGACAAAGTAGGGGAATGGCCCACTAGCCGGCGGAACCACTCCAGCATCAACAACCAGCGAGATGAAGGTCAAAATCATATATATGTAGAAGAACGATAGAATCTCCTTTCGACCAACCGCCGTGAACTTGCTACGAACATGGAGAATCATCACAATCGTCATTATCAGTGCCACGATGTGCATAGCAGATGCGGCACCTTCGAAAATGATGGTGTTGGCCAGAGCGATATTGCGAGCATAGCAATCAGGTTCGATGCCGACACGATTTGTCGCCGGGAGGGTAGGTCCAACGTTGGCGCAAAGAGGAAGTGGCGCATTCTCACAGATTGAGGTGAAGTCACCGAAACCAGACATCTTGCCTGTCTTCGTGATTTGTCCCCCACAAGAGGCCTATATCGAGACAGAATCTTCAGGCGACAAAGTGGAAGGTACTTCGTAAACCTGATCAGCAAGGCCCGTTGTTGAAGCCCGATGTGGTCGTGCCGTTGACCGTGGACTATACGATCTTGGGAGAATTGAGATTCAGATCGAACGGCAGATGGTGCTCCCTACAGAAGGATTTTTGGACCGATGTCACTGCAGCTTTGTCGTCCAACACCAGAACAATGTCGAGCAGTCGGTATGCAGTCCTATCGATGTGCCTCTCCTTTGGAAAGTCTCGGGAAGGTGATGGTCCAAATACAGCGATTCGCAGTCTTTTGGGTATTTTCAATTCGTGTTTGCGGCAAGAAATATCCGTTGATGGATCGAAAGATGCGTACTAGACGATCGAGAAGGGAGTGCTCAAGATAGGGACCATCTATGTGAGTGGCAATCGCTAATGCAGGGTTGGGAGACAGTTGTCTGATGTAAAACGGCAAGTTTTGGCCAAAGCGAATCTCTCCGCGCCGTTTGAGGACCAAGCTGAACAGCCAAATCGCCCACTCCAAGTCCCAAAGGTATGTTGCCGCGATTTCAAATGTCGCAAGTCTTTGTATACGCTTGTTGGCCAGACGTGGCGAAGCCAGAAGGCCAAGGACGCAAAAAAGAGCGTAGATGTCGGAAACTCGGGAACCAACTAGAAGAGCGAGCGGCTAAGTCAAACAGAGCTTTTGCTCCTCGCTGGGATGCGACTAGCGATGACAGATCAGGTCGAGGGAGGATGGGCATGGAGGAGGTAGAAATGGACATGAAGGTTCCACGTCCAGGGTCAACTGGTAGAGAGAGAGTCGGGGGCGGTCTCGCGGCTGTGGCTGTGGCTGTGGCACTATTGACTAGTACTACCCAGTTGTTGCCGTAGGAAGGGACGACTGACATAGCGACCATGGTACATGAGTGAGAAGGGATGGATGGGTGTGCTTGTGCCCTTGTTTCGGGTATTTGCTGGCCTCTGGTTGGTTAGTATTGCCCGTTGCCCCTTCAATGTCCACTAAAAACAAAGGCTCCAGATGCACATGTGCCCAGTCTGATCGTAAATCTTCGTAAACACGTCCAACCTACTTAAACCTACTAGGTACGCATGAGTTGCTGCCTTTGCTTCTTTAAACAGTTCATTACAGGATGTGACTACTATCCACATCCCGTTTTAAAATTCACCCGGAAGCCAGTTTAGACCCAGCCGCATATGTTCCATTGGCTGAGTCACAAGGGACGTTGTAAATACACTCTTCAGGGCATCCAGCGCCGAGATAGGCTCTCCGCGGTTTAATCTGATTCCTCGACCCGATCACATCTTATGAAACAGAGAAGTCGGGCCCTCCGTAAAATGAGCCATGTTCTTCACCCACTGAATCGCCCTGACATCCCAGCACTTTGGTCCATTCTCGCACTCCAAGCGGATAACAGAAACGAGGCTAACGACTATGTGAGAGCCAAAGCAGGGATACGCTATTGGTGAATATTCACTCCGTACTCCCGGTGAAAACTGAACTACCCAAGTCCGAAGGCCCCTAGATGTACAATGACCCCTCACTGTAGGTAAAGTAGGTTCTTCATTCTCGGTGATGGCCTTGAAGCCGATCGTGATGTGATGATACATTGTCCAATCCAACCTTACTTCCGAGTCTCGGAAGCTGTCTTCACAAGCCGAGATGAAATTGATTTATCATCAAATGAAAATGCGTAATGCGTCAGTTGGCAACGCTCCCGTCATTGCTGACTTATTGTAACTATCTAATAGCTGCGCGACTAGCCAGAAGTCGCCCGATGTATAACCACAGACCAACTCACACCCCTCTGGAGGAACCAGATAGGCACCATACAATCAAAGTCAACTCGAATGCAGAAATCATCCATCCGTCTCTCTTGCTAATGAACCTCTGTGGCTGATTTGCCATTAATTGAAAATTCGCAAAAAAACTCCATCAAATGCATTTATGAAGTGCCCAGGCTCATCCGTGACTATTCCTCCCGTGTGGTATTTGTCAACCGATCACCTCAACATGAATCACATCCTGGGAAGTTTGTGATAACATAGCTGCCAAACCGGAGACAAGAGATAAAAGGCCCGGAAAGCCCCAGGCCCGCAAACCGAAAAACCTAAAAATTATTTGCAAACCCAACGCCTAATTCCATGTCATTTCATCCATGCCTGCGTTTCCATGTAGTGTCTAAAAACATTCATACAAATGACGAAAACAAAGGCCATGCTTATATAAAACACAAGCAAGCTCGAGTCTAATTTCGTCCGGTCCGGGGAAATAGGAGTGTAAAGTTGTCATCTTCCAGGTCAATTTGCAGCCTACATTATCACTGTAGTGCACATCGTTGGTACCTGCGGCGCCAAATTGCTCAATGTTCAAACGGAGCGAGACACTTGAGTGCAAACACCCTTAGGACGTAAAGTGGCCCTGGTGCGGACCGTGTGGTATAAGATGCTGTTGCTGACCTCGATTGTAGACCAAAAATTCAGGTACGATGCCGGTTCGTAGATCGTGTCGCCGACCTAGTGGCTGATAGTGCATCTGATTCGGCTGGACTGGAACCGAAAGATGATACTGGTCAAGAGACGCCGATGGTGGCGGACAAAGAAGCCTGTTGACGTGCCGGATGGGCTTGTACGGGCTAGCCCGGTGCTGCAAATACACACTTGGCGAATTCGATATCGGAGTATGAGCGATAGGCGTGTGAACCGCGGATCCAGGCCCGAAAGCTTCCACCAGTGGTGAGGAACCATAGGCAGGCGCCATATTTCTAGGGCTGTGGTGCTTCGTCGGAGTACCATAGGGCACCTGTGGGTGTATCGGCAAGCCTGTAATTGGATAGGTAGATCCGGTTATTGCGGATGAAGAAGAAGCTGACACGGATTGCGGTTGCAAGGCCACGGCAGACGGCGTACCAGTCTGATAGACAGTTGACATTGCTCGAACACCCGATTGAAGAGGAGGTAGAGATACCACCTGTTGAGATGCAGATGGAACCGAGCCTTGAGAGGAAAAATTTTGGCCCGTTGCGAACTGATCGGGGCTATGACTCGTCACCACAGTTAGGTGAGGAACTGGTAATCTGGTACTGTCAACATGTCCATTCAGTCGTGTACTGGAGGCTCCTTGGACAATTTGTGCAGCGGCTGAATGCACCATTCGTTTAGCAGGATGCTCCGTTAGATCCTCGTCGGGACTTCGTTTGCGAGAGGATGGTATAGGGATCGAAATTTTCGATGCCAGTGGGGATGTAGCATTGGACTGGTAAGCCGACACATTTTGACAATGTCTCGAACTCGGTGAGAGATTAAACTTGGTCGAAGGCGTGAATGGCGGGATTCCAGTTCCAGTTGGTGACGGAAGGGGCGAATATAGCGCTTTGTGACTAGGAGAAGGGATATGAACGGGAGATACTGGAAGATTGGAAGCTCGCTCATAATAATCATGGAAACAGGATAGTTTCACAATCCACTGCTCCCATTCCTCTTTTGAAGCCAACAAGTTATATCGCATGTTGCTGAGGAACTCTACTTCCATCACATGAATTTCCTGGACAGCGAAACAAGATACCTCCGCCCAGGTTTTGTTGGTATATGTGTTATCGTCCAGAACTACCGATAAACAACAATTAGCTTTCGCTGCATTCAAATCAAGTCAGCCACAATTCAATTATACATACATTTGTTCCCAAGCATCAACGCCACCGTCAAAAGTCGATATTCGCTACCAGCACGTCCCTTTATCTGCGGTGTCGACATCTTCAAACGATATATGAACAACAGGGCCAATAAGATGACATTCTGGGTGACTTGGGTCGTTGACAGAACATTGTATACCCATTTTCGAAACTGTTCATGAGGCTTTGCCAAGGCGGGGAGTCGCTGGATTGATGCGTTGGGTTGTCGTGATCGAATTGATTCAGCTTTCTTCAGCTCGTCAATAGACTCGAACCAAAATAAACAGGTCATCTATGAGGCCCCCCCCCAATTCTTGTTAGCACCCCAGTCATTGTTTGGACTCGCAGCCTAGGATACAGCAGAATACAACCAACCTGAGCAGCAAAGTCGGATAGGTTTCCTCCAGTATGACTAATACACTTGGGCATTTGCAAGCTGTGGTAAATCAACGTTTCTGAGCCTCTACGGGGAGTGGTCGAATGAGAGCGCTTAGCCGTGACTGAAGATTCCGTAACAGGAGTTAAGGAACTAGGAGGTTGACGCAACATCGGATCTGGGGCCGGTTCTGTCGATAAATAGGGTCCATTTCGGAGCTGGACTTGTTGGGATGAATAACGGTACTGGTGAGAACTTCTTGCATCATCCACAACCGGCTTGATGTGGCTAGAATGAGATAATGCTGAGGGGTACCCAGATAATGTATGGCCCTCATAAGTCGACATCGCAGGTTGATATGCTGTGCTCATGTCGTCGACCGGTGGTGTCCTAAGCCCGTTGCCCAAACCTGAAGACGTACTGACCAGAGGGAGCTTTGGCAGGACAACACCGCAGGTAAGATTTCGTCCCCGGCAGTTTTGGCACGTCGTAGGTGAAGGGAGCAGACACGAAAGTGTAGAAGTTATTTTAACGGACATGGAGAGAAACGTCTGCACATTTGGTGTTAATCCGGGTCAAGATGGCACTGGATTGTGACTCGAGAAGAAGAGTTGGCGTGATCTTCGGCATTCGAGGTGGGCGACGTGGAATTGTCCAGAGTCGCAAGTTCGTTCGTGAAGGAGTGGGACAATGGGAATTATCCGCATCCAAGAATACAGTGAATAGGGCAGCGGGAAGGATACACGAGTAGGCCGTGGTTGTTTGTTTTCAAAGAGATGTTCGGGCTATGAAAACGAAGGGCCTTGCAGGTGGCAGCGGTTGTCGTTCTGTGATTGTGGTGTAAGTGTGCGTAGCTCGTTGAAAGACACCCCCCTCGGTTGCACTTACTGTGGCCGCTCAGCAACAGAAAGACAAAAGGAATGCAGCATGCAGTTGATTTTCTTCCACAGCTGCACTTTAATTTTCACCAGAACGGGCCCATGATTGAAGAAAGAAAAGGGTCAAAGACGACACGGATCGTGTCGTGGAAACCAAGGAGACATGACCCGGCTCGGCTGATATGAGGGACAGAGGGAGAAAGACGACGGTCTCGGCGTAAATGGTATGGTGGAGGGATAGATGGTGTTCAAGGTTCAAACGGGGCTGTGGTTGGTTCCAGGGCGCCAAGGCGAGGGCCACCGTCGGTGGTTGCTGGGCCCGCGTTTATGCTTCTGGCTGCCGGGTCAATCAATGAGAGTCAATTGGACGGCACAGGGGGGGCGTGTGGCAGCAGCCGACAAGTTGAGAGAGGAGTGAGGGTGAGGTGAAGACGAGTTGTAAGGACCCAGCCAGAGCAAGTCGCACCTGCGCTTGCACTTGCACTTGCACGGGCTGATGACAGGCAACTGGGGCAACTGCCTACTAGGTACTAAGTAGGTAAGGGGGGCCCCGAGCACAACTGAAGGGAAAGAGCAGCCCAGTGGACTGGGGGGAGCTGGGACAGGATGCGAGACGAAGGCGCTGGATTTGGTGGTGCCTGCCACTTCTGCCACTTCAACACCAAGTCTGCAAATTAGAGCCATGACGGATACGTCCAGGTACCTGCGCTCCACCACGGCTGCCACGGCTGGCAAGTACCTCCATGGCGCCACCGCTGAGACAGTGTACTTGCCGGAGACTTCCACGCAAGTAGTAGTGGCTTTCTCCAGGTTCTAAGTTTAGCGAGCACTCGCGGCTGTGAAGGCAGAGTCAGCTGCCACGCCGAACTTGAGAGAGCCGAGAAATGAAAATGTCGAAAGGAATCCGCTTCTAAAGTTTCTATTGAGACCATACGGAGTATACCCAAAGTCATTACTCCGTACGCGCCGACCATCTAGACTCCATTCGGCACCAGACATCTGCGCAATTTTGAAGAGTCAAGCACGCAGGCCAGTTGTCATGGTCGAGGGCTGGGGTGAGAGATGAGAAGGGGCAAGTGAAGAGGCGATCCGCCCTTTTGCTCGATGCACCTACCTGCAAACGCAAACCTGGTACTTCGTACTCTGTACTCCATACAATACACGGGGATCCTAAGTCAGCTCCATCGACTCCTACTCTACATCTGGCTGACAGTGGTTGTTGAGTGGTATCCAGGCATCGTCGAAGCAAGTGGCTCAGCCGGCCAAAACAAGTCAAGAGCCATCCTGCCATCCTGCCATCCACAGCTACGCCATACTTGGCGGGAATTCCTGTGGGCTATGGGTTGACCACCGCTCCTGCGCGCCTCCTATATCTCGCTATTCGCCGTGTCGGGTGGGTTGGTTTGGAGAGAGACCAGGCCCGACGCCAGGCCACCCGAGTGCTCCGTATACTACTTACATATCGGTACAATTTATTGCTAGTCGACCCAGGCTGAACCTGGCCAAGTGAGCGAGTGGCTCCATCTCAAGGTCCCCGGTTGGCGGAACTGCGTTTCTCTCTCAGACATTCGCAGGTGCAAGCTGGACACACTAACGCTGGCTCCGAGCTAGTCGAAGCGTGGCACACCCACCAGCCAGACCCAACGCGCAACTGCGACGCCGTCAAGCATGGACAAATGTGGTTTGGTCGTGGCAATGGGCTTTTCATTCCCTGTGGATCGTCGGTTCCAGCTCGTCTCGATGCCAATGATGGCTATTGTGGACGCTTGTGTCGTCCGTCTTGCTAATAAATTACTCGCAACAAGAAAAGCCATTCGAAAGGTGGACACCGGCTTTTGGTGATGTGTATTATTGTGTATGGTACATTCATCAATCGGCTCGAGCCACTCCTCTCCTCTTATAGCCGGTACAGGCGATCCCACTGTGTCAATACTTATTACGCACCTACTAGCTGCTCAAAACCGGCCAGCAGGTGTGGCAGGGAGACCAGCAACGAATGGGGCTTGTCGCTCTTGATGGATCAACCCCATGTTAACTTGAAGTGCCACGATATCCCAGGGTCCATCGGTGACTTTGGCCATCATCTGACACTCGGACAAACGCAAGATAGAAATTGAATGTACAGCCTCGCTCTCGCAGACAAGGTGCGCTCTTAACTAGAACGGCAACTCTACCTGCTCCTTCGTCAATCCGTGTCACACTTGAGGTACGGAGTACGGAGTACATGGAACGATATTCCCACGGTTGGAGTACCTACCAGACTTGGGTAGGTAGTCAGACGCAACCGATACGAGACTAGCTTTGACTACACCAATCCCTTCCAGTGGCCAGACCAGGAGGAGCCTGACGGTTGAGCCAGACATTAATGAGAAACGCAAGGTATGGGCCTCATATTTTGTCACCCCAATACTACTACTAATACATAGTACACGTCGGGCTGAATGCTCTGGGATGTTTGCTTCGCAAAGTATAATCCTGGACATTCCAGGCTTCTGTGTATACATAGAAGCGAAACCATGGCCGCGGCACATCAAGTATCCGATGATCTGGGAGTGTGGTCTGTGAAGGCACATCAGCCAACCGAGGGGCTCGACTGTGATCGATTACACGGAATCGCGGCACGTAGAAACGATCAGTCTTCACGGAGTTTAGTACGGAGTATTGTTTGCTGAATGGCACGCTACTTGGTGGGTGTGAGCAGAGACCTGCCAAGTCAGCCATCCAAGAGACAGAAGTGATGTACTCTGTACTGGTGGTCCCCCTTGCAACGACTGACATGGGCAACAAGCAACATTCATTGCCGCACCACGTTCCGGCATCATTGCCCTTGTCCGAGTTGAATGCATGTCCACAGTCCTGACCCAATTGAACTAGTTTAGGTATCCTCGTACGGAGTACAAACGCATTGAGGTGAGCGGGCCTTTTGTGCCTGAAGCTCTCTGCAGCCGCCGGTGTTGCCGCCAATGCAGAACTCGTCGCCTGGTTCCAAGATCAAGCAAGCAATAGGTACATACTAGCACAGTACTTAGTTGGGGGGGGGGGGGACCACCCAGAAGTAGGGTTTACGTGTGATAGATGGTCATCACACTCAGCTTCCCGACTTTCAAAGATGACAAGTTATTCCTTGTCCTCCTACTCCGTATAGGGTCGGGTCATCTTGACAGTCGAGCAGTTTCTACAAACAAGGGTTCCAACAGAACAGGAATGGCTACAGCTGTTCTTTAGGGGTCGACATGCATCCTGCGGCTGCTCCGTACTGTGCATAATGGCCTCGGTCATCTGGCCTCTGTTATTCTCTCGCAGGAGTTGGCCATGGTAGTTTCTAGGTCCCCTGCAGGCTTTACCAACCCAGGACAAGCTGAAGACAAGCACCAACTTTGACCTCCACCGTCTACAAGCCGCCAAATGCCACAACTCGCAGAATATTCAACCACTTTAAGCCAGCTGGGGTAGCCGCACTTTCCTTCCTTCCCGCTGTCTCGATTTCATGATCTCATCATGGCTGCGTCCTACCACCCGTGTCGACATTGACTTCTGGTGCTGTCCTGGTTTTAATACGCCATAGCCTTGGCGGGCTACCTGCTACCCGAGCCATCTAGTTGTTGCAAGGAGGCCATGGACAGAAGCATGTCGACATCATCATTTTGTGCGAGAAAGCGATAAATATGTCAATACTCCGTACCAGATTGGTGTACTCTCGGCCATCAAACACCACACTTCATACTTGGGTCCAGAGCGGCGCATGAGCTTGGTTCCACCATGCTTCTCATTCGCTTAACACGTAAAGACGCAGGCCAGTCTTCAAGCTGCCCACCAGATCAAGTTTTGTGACCTGGAACACTCTGGCTTGCTGGTTGCACAAGTCGCTTCGTGGCATAAAGACCCTTCCGTGGCCACTAGCCACGGTAAAGGAAAAGAACAGATTTGACGGAGAAAGCGTATCTGCTGTCTCGCTTTCAGATGTCGTGTTCTTGCTTGATCTCGGAAGAATCCACATGCCCAAAAATCCGGTCACTTATCAAAGTTGGTTGACCAATC